AAATCCCTAGCAAACCTCGCTAGTTTTTTGCTATGTTTGCATTGCTAAGCGATAGAGGGCTTTCAAAAGCATTGCCCTTATGTTTCGGTTCACAGTTGTTGATTTCACGATATAACTTTCTAAAACCACATTGTACGTTCGACCTATATCTCCCGATTTGTCATTTTTGTGAGACCAACGATTAGACACGGATAAAGTTTAATGATTAAGGCAAGACTTGAGCTCAAGTTTATCGAGGTAAACACAATAAATCATAGGTAGACTAAGGCTACTAAATGTTGAATTTTGCCGGTTTCAGTCAGTCTCACTCCTTTTGATACACTCCTGTATATATATATAATGTATATATGTACGTGTACGCATATTAGCTCAATTCAAATTGTACAGTGCTCACTCCTCCATGCTCTGATAACTTTCTAGTAGTAACTATAAGTCTAAATCCAAAACGACTAACACCCAAGAACCACCACAACTCACGGACAAACTAGTATTACAAGTCGCGAATCTTACCATGATTGAAGTGTTTAGAATCCTCGGGAACCTATAGCTGTGGGCTGATGATGGTGGCCTGTTGCAGCGATCAGTATAGAGAGGATGTGTGCAACGATGAGTCCTCGGTAACTGTCAGGGAATGGTTGCTCCTCGCTCACCGCTTTATATAGGTGCGAGGGCCCACGCTGCCAGACGCTTGCACTGTGCAAATAGGAACGACGGAGGGCTGGGTGCTGTTTATCAATTCTGCGTCTGGCACGCCCCACGTTCAAAGTTCTCTGCTGCTCAAAGTTTAAGTTCAAGCTGCGGACGTTTAAACGTACCCGCGTGCGCGATTTATCTAATGAGTCCGACGGTAAGCAAGGGTGCAATGTTGCGAATAAATCTGTTCGCGTAGTAATATTATATTAGAGGAAAGAGCGCGTTATTGAGCAAGTGAAGGTCATTATATACCTCCGCCAAGGAGGTTAAGTTTTCGTCCCTGTTAGTTTGTTACCTCCGCCAAGGAGGTTATGTTTTCGCCTCTGTTCGTTTGTTACCTTCGCCAACGAGGTCATGTTTTCGCCCTTGTTCGTTTGTTAGCTCCGCCAACGAGGTAATGTTTTCGCCCCTGTTAGTTTGTTACCTCCGCCAAGGAGAGTATGTTTTCGTCCCTGTTCGTTTGTTACCTCCGCCAAGTTGTTCAAACCGCTTCCAAGCTCTCGTTGCTACACTTGATTGGCTGCTAAAAACAATCTCGTTCGAAATGTTTCGAAAACGATGATTCACTGCTGGGCGCGCTGGCGTAGCTGAGGCGTGTTCAGGAGAGCGAGCGCTCGATGCGAACGCTCGATGAACGAACGCAGCGCCTCCTGAACGACACACGAGCGCTCGCTTGATCAAAGATGGCGGCCCCCATGGAGGGAG